GGTAGTGTTTATCATTTATTTAATATTTATAATAGGAAACTGTTTTAATTATTTAAATAAAAATGTTAAATGTCGAACTCTACAGTATTTAATTAAGATTATTCTATTTTATATTTTAAATATGATTATTTTAATGTTTATTGTTCGAAAAATACAACATGACTGTGATCGAAATAAGAATGGATATAAATATAGTAGATAGAAACAGATCGATCGAGATCGATCGATTATTTTGATTTATGGGATAAGGAAATTACAATGCCATTAATGGTCCGAGACGTCAGAATAGAAATAAATTCTGAGTGAGTTATACACAATAATAAGAGCTCAATTATGTTTTCTTAGACAAGAATATGAATAGAGACACGACGAGTAAACCCCAATATAATACATAGGCCTATATTAATTAATGAAGAAAATCTTAATATCTGTAAATGAAATAAAGAATAATTTATTATTATATAATATTATTCATATATTTTTTTGAATTAAAAGTATGAAGAATGTGTTCTCTATCTTCCATAGCATCTAGCTCCTATTATTTTCTCTATATAAAAGCATTGAGGGGGTCATAATACAGTAAGCATTTTCGAAATAAAAGTTAAATGCGTTATTTCGAATAGAATCAATAGAATAAATGTCAAAGTACATCACGACACAATAAATTTTGCGGGAATGATGATGATAATAATTCGTGTCAATTCTGTAACCATCGGAAATGACGCGAAAACTTTCCAAGGTCAAGGCCGATATTCAACTAAAATTCTATTAACAATGAAGAGCTCATGAATAGAGTTAATTTATATTTAAATTAAAAAAAAAACTCCATTTATATTATATATACCATATGAGTTTATAACGCAAAACGTGAAATTAGTCGGATAGCCTTAACTTAAGGTCACGACCTCAAAAGAGGTTACTAAATACCTTAGATAGTTACAATCTTTTGAAGGATTAACCTATATAAATTGTGAGATTATATGGCCCAATGTTAAATTTTATTCCCTTAATTTAATCTAGAGTGGCTTCTTTAGAGTAGAAGTAACATTAATGCTAAATTTATGGGCGATGTGCAGCATCAATGCTACACAAAATGGAGGGTGCTTAATATATCCGATTCCTGTATATAGAACAGGAATTGCATAGTTCAGGTAGGGATCAGTCGCGGATTAAAACCTTCTAGGGTTCCTAGGCATATATTAGGTGTTCCCTCAACATAATTTTATGATATAAATTAATAACATTTAATTATAGTTATAAGAATTATTTATAAATTATGATATATATAAAAAAACTTTATTAAATTATTAAAAATATTTTTAAAAAAAAAACTTTAGAATGAGTTTCAGTTATTAAACAGTGCATGTTAAAATTCCAAGAACCTCACATTAGAAGCATTATTATTATTATTATTATTATTATATTCAAATAAAAATCTATAAACATGATTTGTTACGAAGCAACCAATTAAATATTGACAAAAGAATGAGGCAAAATGACAAGAGGTTGTTGTTTTCCACATCTTGATGGATTCAAGGCCAACGTTTCTTGAAGAAAAATGGTCAGAATGGCCAAAGTGGTTTAAAAAAAATGAGGTCGCATTAAACTAAATGATAAAAGAAGGGATTTTTTTCAAATAACTTAATCCAATCAGGTCATGGTCGTAGCCACAGGTATTATGTTTTTCACTCTCTTTTGAGGAATTATGGCAAGACGGATTTGAATTATTATTATTTATGCATTAATTACTGTAAAGTAGATGCAAAAATGTTATTTCGGATTCAGAGAATATATTAAAATCGATAACAAATTGCCTAATTTTATTAAGAAAGCGAGTCCTTTTCAGTAACCTTTTCAAGGACTTGTCAGAACTTCATCCCTTAAAGCTATTTTGATGTTCGTTTTCTTAAGAGGAAATTCACAGTTTGCGGTTTCTATAATGTAATTTCTCTTATGATAATTATGTATTTCAATCACAAATAAACAACTAAGTCCATTTCTTCCTTATACGCTAAAAAATGTATCGTAACCACACATCTACATATCTCATTATAATTAGAAATTCTTAAAGGTTAAAACTTAAAATATTTTCATTTTAATTCGTTTAAAACAATCTTAATATATTTAATATCGAAATAAAAACTGTTTAATATTATTTCCTATACTTAAAAAGTCAATTTTAAAGACTTTAAATGTAGTATTCTATAGAGGATGTTTTAGAGGTTAATACATTAAAATTAACAAAGAACTTGAAAAAAAAAAAGTTTCTAGCCACGATATTTACAAAATATTTATGAAAATAAAAGTCGTTTTATATCTCCAATAATAAGAATTCCGGGAATTTATGGGCGAATTGCAAGTTTTCTTCTTACGAGGTCATAGTAGACAAGACCAATGAGTAGCTAGCTGTTCACGTGACTTGAATATAGTAAATTGAATTCAAGTACCCAGTCAAGCAAGGTAGACAGTCCTTGATGAGATGTATCTATAGAAAGTATTGCCTACGATGGCGACTAAGGAATATATTTCTGTTTAAAACTATCGTATAAGCTACTTCTTATGGATATAAGATGTAGTAGTTGTTGTCAACATGTTAAATCTCAAAAGTTTTGATTTTTTCTAAAGCAATTCTATATAAAAAAAACAGGTAAGAATTGGCCTAATTTTTATTTATTTCTGTATTTTACATCATTAAATTGAGTAGAAGTTTTTAATAATATATTCTTGAGAAATAAAGGTGATTTTTAATCATTTATAAAGTTTTTGTAGAAAATTTTAGGATTTTATTACTATAATTTTTTTAAATTTTATTTGTTTTTTTTTTTAATTCTCATTTATGTATTATTTTTCTGTTTATACATTTTTCTATAACAGATTTTGTAAATATTTTTAAATGCTGGTAAACAAAAACAATGATCATCAATTCTATGATACTGACTTGCAACATTATTTTAAGCTGACTTGATCATAGTTAATACAAATTTAATCGAATTATTAACGTTGTATAACAATTTTATACAGTTTACAATAGTAAAATCACCATAAATATATTGTAATTTCGATTAAAAAAGTATAATTAATTGTAATTAATCGGTATATTAAGAATGCTTTAATCCAGGGCCTGTCAGAAGTCGACAGAGGCCCGACCTATTTAACATTTTGAAGGCTTTCGGTACACTAAAATAGCGTTAAAAATTGTATTTTTAAATAATTAAATTCTTAATTTACAAGAAATACAATGGAATGAGTAATTTGTAACAAATGTTTTTGAGGCCTCCGCACGTGCCAAATGGCTGTACTGATTTCCCTACGATAGGGCCTACATAATTCTAGCGTAAATATTCTCGAAAAAAACTATTCCGATATTTAAAAAATATTTTAAAAAGTATATAAAATGTATACGGAACAATTAACAAGCCACCAAAATTGTTTACTTCTTTTCGATAACCTTGGTAACATGTGCGATGTTGACATCATACTTTCAAATTACCCACCCTGCTTTAAAAATCTTATCAGTTTTTCGATCCGGTAGTCACGAAAGGCATATAATACACTGTCTTTCAATTTCCGAGTAACTTGAAAGGTACTAGTAACGTCAAATATGTACGAAAACCACTAATTAGCAGCCTTTAAAAATTATATTAATTTACATATAGTATCATTGACGTCACCGGAAAGTATACTATAAATAATTAACTTTTTTTAAAGGCTCTGGTTACGAAATATCGATATTTTTAACACAGCATCGAAGACTGGAAAAATATTCGTTAAAATTACATCATAACTTTAAACTATAGCCTTGTACAGTACGTAAGATAACTGTATAAGGTCTTAAGGTAAAAAGGGTCAATTTTTCTTCATTATCAAACATATTTTTTCTTAAAACCGAGTAGTTTCTTCAGATAAAAAAGGGCCTATTTTTCTTTACCTTTAAATATATAAGCTTATTTTCTTATATCTCTATTAATTAAGTAATTGTAAGCGCATTTATGGAAGGGCCCAGAGTTATGCAGGGGCCTAGGAATCTGGATTTATGGGCCCTTGCATAACCCTCTTGATCCAGCTCCGTATTAAGCAATCACAAATATCTTCGTACGAGGAAACTCTTTTTAGGTTTCCAGAACATTGAACTTTTCCTTTGAACTAGTTTCGGAGATTTCTTTATGATGTTCCAGTTAGATTTCTGTTTAAACAACAAGAAATATTTAAAAGAAAAAAAAGATTTTACTTAAACCGGAAACTAATTATAATTACGAATGATTCATTATCGATAGGGTCGAGTTAAATTTCTTGTTAGATCTCTATCGTATGATGTCACAGTATAGAAAACAAGAAATTAGTTTTGACAATGTAGATATGTTTATATAAATAGTTTCTATTTATAAATTCTTTCTTAGAAAATTTTCTTTAGTCTTAATTGAATATTAAGTAGACAAAGCGAGACACGTACTTACTATAAATTTTCTTCATAATTTTTACAAGGAAAAATGGTCTACAAATGTTTTTATTTTATGAAATTTCAGTTTTAAAACGTGTTATTTTATGTATTAAAATTTAAATTCTATTATAAGATTATTCAATTTGATAAGCAATCGTTGTATTCTTGGCTTACAACAAGTAGAGTATTTACTGTACTGAAATATAAACAGAAAAACATTATTTTCTGTGTATTCGGTACAGAATTTCCCTTTCCCCCCTTTAATGTTTCCAACGTTGTGGTTTTCATAAATGGGAATCAAATATGTAACTACAAATATCGTAAATGGAGATAATTTATTAGTCGATACACTAAATAAATGGGTATGGACTTCTCGCTGGGGTGCCACAAAATGCCAATAAACAGAGCAATTAAAAATGCTAATAGTTTGTCACTTTTTAATATTTGTATACTTTTATTAAAAATGCAGATCGTTAACGTCACTATTCGTTTATATATATATATATAGAAGAGCATCTTTGATGCGACACCCATTGCTGTGCCATCAAAAAATTGTTTGTGCCACTAGCTCAAGAAGAGTTAAGAACCTTTACACACTAAACGTTTGCATTTCTGGTTTCCTGGTTCTCTTTTTTTCGATTTAAACATTATTTTATACTTCGATTTATGTTATTTTATACTTTAAAAGTTTATAGCCAAGTTCATATTGTTCTTCTTCCTCCGATTTTAAATTCATTATTGCTTGATGAAGGAAGAGAGTCTCTTCCCTTCCATCAAATAATAATAATAAATTTAAAAGTATTTATACTTATAAAAGGTGATGAAAAGGAAGGTAAGTTTAGTAGGACATTAAGAACTTCCTCGGAAGATATGATTTTTAAAAATACAACTCAATTTTTTAACGTTATTTTTCTGTTTTTTTAAATATATCAAGGCCTCAAACTGTTAAGTTTTTGGTCTCTGAAAGGCCTTATTATTTATTTATAATGAATGACCACTTAAAAATGTCAAACATAACTAAATTTACTTACAACTATTTAGAGATAATTTAATTCAAACGTTCCAAAATTTTATTTATTATATAAAAAAACTGTTAAACATTTTTGCCAGTCACTTGTTTGTCTCGAATAAAGTAGTTTGACTGGTTCAAATGTCACCAACATTCACTGACGCCTATATTTTACTTATTCCAAAGTTACTTCACGCATAATAAGTAACATATGTTACGGAATACACATATAAAACCTTATTTATAACTCTTTTCTTAGCGAGAGATTGATGAAAAGCACGAGTTTATAACCATTTTTGCTTGTCGACCTATATTATACTCTTTCTATATTAATACAAGACAAGAATGAATTACAAATAGGTTGAAACACAAGACCAAATATGAGTTGACAATGCATTTTTTTAAAAATTAAACATTAATATTAGTGTTTTATTATATTTTCAAAATTATATAACATAACTTTGTTCTCAAACGGCCCCCAAATTTCCTTGTAATTCATCGACTCCCCAAATAAATCGATTACTAGAGACCAAATTGGGAACCCCTCAGTGGTGCGTTATCTTATGGGCAAAAAGGAAATTGACTGGGATCTCCGCCAACAGGGGCCTCAAACCAATCTTTTATAAGAAAATATTTTCCTAAAGAAAAATATCTGAAGTCAACACCGCTCACGGGGTCCCTGTAATTCCAATTTGCCTGGGCTCCATATAACGCGCCACTAATGAATACTAATAGCAGACAGGTTGGAAAATGATCATTGCTTTTCCTTATTTTTAAGGGTAAAAAATATAATTTTTTGTCCTTAAAATTCTATTTTTACTTCTATCGTTTGGATATATTTACTTTAGTTTCATGTTTTCTTCTTTAATGACTTCTCAGAATAAATTATTGCAGTAAATGACCTACTGTAAACTGACCTACGTATCATTTCCAAATTTTCTGGCATATATTAATGTAATTTATATTCTACATCATTATAAAATAACAGGATTTTTAAGCACAAAAAAGTAATTATAACTTTCAATTCTTTACGTATTTTAATGAGATGTTTCTGAATTAATTAAATGTCAAGAGAATAATAAAAAGTTTATATTATAAATAAAGGAATTTTACTGTATCTGACAGCTTTTAAAAACATTTCACTTAAAACTTATAAATTAAAAATTTTATTATTAAATATTAGCATTTACATAGCTATTCTTGCAGTTTTTATAGTTTAAATTAACAATTTTGTTTACACTCTCAATTAATTCAACCCAGTGACACGTTATCTTATGGACAAAAAGGGCCTGGGGCCCCAAACCAATTTTTTATTACCCCAAAATGTCTGAAATCAACGCTACATGGGGCTTCTAATTCAAATTCTCATGGGCCCCATGAAACTATAACGCCCCACTGATTAAACCGAGTGTTTTTTAGTTTATTTAATATTAAAAATATATTCTGTACACGTTATTTGTTATATTTCCTCCAAGAAAAATCACGGAAGTCCATTAAAGATTTTATGGGGGCATTCTATTACGCTATTGTTATCGAATATCCGGGAATCCCAGTTTTTTTTTAACATTGATAGCATGCAAAATACAAATAAAGTAAGCAAGGTGAAGGTTTTAAAAAATAATAAATTGATCTCAATATAATAGAAACACACAATATAATGAATTTGAATGTTGAGGACGTTCCAACAAATGTTAAAAGTCATTTTACTATTTAAATATACCATATGCCTTGAAGGAAAATAATGGAAAACCAGACCAGATTATTTTTAAATTGTTTTCATGTATATAAAATTAAAATACAAATGTTTTATTTTTAAATTATTTTTTACTTGGAAGCGATATAGAGTATGATAACTGTACTCTACCGTACTGTACAGTTGACCCCCTATAACACTGTTGATAATTTCGTTTTATATGAATTTCATGTTGTACGAGTCAGTTAGATTTTACAAATACGTGAGCCTTTCGCAGCCCGGCACACGTAAAATCTAAGTGATTCGTACAACACGGAATTCATATAACACGGAATTATTAACAGTGTTATAAGGGGGTCTACTGAACTACATTACAGTACGGTAGAGTATAAAAACACTATAAAACTACTATATCATACAATGCCAAAAGCATTTTATGATATTAAATTAATTAATTTTTAAATAACTTTTTCTATAACATTTTATTATTTTAGCAATAATTGGAGGAAAATAATGTAGAATAACGATAACCCAGTTTTCCTTTGTCGTATGTGTTAATAAATTATCATAAAAAGCATATTGTTACAATTATCTATATTTAGAATAAAAGAAAGCGATAATAATCTTTAATTTATGACAGGGTGGATCATGCTTTTTAGTAACATTGGGCTAAAAGTAATTTGGACCCTGTCAAAAAAAAGTCAACTCAAAAAACAATTATCATTTGCTATCGTATAATATTTATTGCATAAATTTACAAACTTGACAAAAAATATATATATATTAACTGAAACTAAATACATACAGTAGAGCGTCGATTATCCGAATCAATTGGGGACTGGGGTTGTTCGGATAACCGATTATTTACGAAAAAATATATTAATTTATCTCATCTTGACATTTTTCTCCGTTGCGTGTCGCTTCGCGTTGAATTTTCGTCGATGTTAAGCCTAACGAAGACTATTGTATCGTTAAAAATTATTTTTTTATTTTGTACAAACAAAATAAATATATTGAAAAATATAAAAACAATAAAAAATTATACTTCAGAAGTTAATTTAGTATCAAAAACGTAAAATATTTGAGTAGCCCAAGACATAGCCAAAGATTGCAGCGCCACAGCACTGGCAAAAATTTAAATTTGCGGACTGGAATTCTTTCGGATGATTGACGTTTCGGATGATTGACTTTCGGATAATCGACGCTCTACTGTATACGTTTTAATTAATAATTTTTTGATAAAATGTCCAAAAGTTAGAGAGATTAGGGTTGTAACCTGAAGCCTTCAGTTTTTTTAAGCTTGCTGTTTCAGTCCCTATATATATCCGTATCACAGTCTATTACTGTATTCTGCTGAATGTTTCAATATGGTCTTCGATATAGACATTAAAACAGATCAAATTTCTGGAATTTTCGTCATTAAGGCTCCGGGTTCGATTTTTATCGAGATTACTATCATTTTATAATACATATTTTACGTGTTTTGTCTATTGAAATTAATACTAATAAATGAAATTCATTAGAAGCTGAAAACACTTCAAGTATTTAATTAATTAAAAAAAAATATCTAGTTTAAAATAAATTCAATTAAAATTCTTGAAAATTATTATGTAATTTGTATCGAAAAATCAACAATTGGGGTATATTTAACTTAAATAATATTGTTAATTATGGATAAATCTTAATTACATTTCTTTAATTACCATAGATTTAGAAATTGATAAATTTTTATTACTTATTACAGGATTGAAAGATGAAAGCTTCGTTAACATTGTTTTTAATGTCGTTTTTAATGATGAAGAAGAGTTATTTTTCTATACCTTGTTCTTCCATCAATCCTGTGCATTGTGAATGCTTTGTAGCTGAGCTTCTTGAACCAGAAGAAGGCGTACACATTAGTTGTCCCGATAACAGGTCGTATCTAATAGAATATACCATTAACGATCTAATAAAACTAGAATGTCTGACTCCACAACCTCCTTACGCTCCTGCTCTTTTTAAAAATATGAATACTACCGAAATCGTCAGATTTGAATTCACTCGTTGCCCTCCACCAAATATATCGTTTAATGAAATATTAGAAGGATACACAGTGAATTCATTAACGTTTATTAGTAATAAAAATGGCATAAAATCTGAAAATTTTGAAGGATTGAACGATCTGGTAACACTGATTCTTCAACGTAATTACATTCCATTCCTTTCTAAAGATCTTTTTCAAAATGTAAAACAATTACAAGTCCTCCGTCTTAATGATAATCGTATCCAAAAACTGGATGAGGAATCATTTAATTATCTTTTTAATCTTACACATTTAGAAATAGGTGGAAATCCAATTAGATTCCTTCCTGAGAATGTGTTTTCTAAGCTTTACAAATTAGAAGTCCTTCACTTGTATAAAATCCAATTAAAGAATTTATCTAAAGATATTTTTAAAGATCTTTCAGCATTAAAGATACTTGATATATCAAGTAATAATTTAGAGAAATTACCAGATTCAATATTTGATTCTCTTCTGAATGTCGAGCAAATAAATTTAAAGAGGAATAAGTTAAAAAGTCTTCCAGAAAATTTGTTTAGATCTACTATGAAATTAAAAATATTAGATTTCGGTAGAAATTCTGAATTAGATTTATTGCCTGAAACTCTTTTATTTGGATTAAAGAAATTAGAAAACATCGCCATGGAGAGCTGCAATATCAGTTATATACCAGAGTTATTCTTTTCACAAGCTAAAGAATTGAAGATTATTAAAATTAACAACAATAGAATTTATTCTTTATCAGATGTTTTGTTCCAAAATAATTCGAATTTGCAAACGTTATTCATGAGTTACAATTACTTAACAACGCTTCCATCTGCAATTTTCAAAAGGCTATACAATCTAGAAACATTAGGAATTTCTAAAAATAATCTTCAGCATCTTCCTAGAAATATATTCTGGGATCTGATAAGATTGAAAACCATCAACTTATCTTACAATAATATAACACATTTAGAACAAGATATGTTTAAAAATATGCAATCATTAGAAACATTTGATATAAGTAATAATAAATTAACAAAAATGTACGACTTTGGTGTACGTAATTTAAAAAAAATTAATATCTGTAAAAATGAATTAAGTGAATTTCCTAATTTTAATTGGGGTATTTATTTATATTTGGAAGATTTAAATCTACAATATAATAAAATAACTTCATTATCGATTCGTTCGTTACTTTCACAGAAAACAATAATCAGATTGGGATGGAATAATATATCTTACATTGACATTTCAGAACTGAAGAACATTCGCAAGGTGTATAAAAATTTCAGCACTGAGAAAACGCCATCTTTACCTGCTAAATGGCTCTTCTTCCCCAATCCTATCTCGTGCGATTGCCATATTTATCCTTTTGTGTCTTTCATTAGAGATGTAGAAGTTTCTACAGAAACGGTTTTCTTGGCTAAGTTTGCTGATTTTGACGATCTAAAATGTTCTCAGCCGGAACGATTAAACGGAAACAAACTATCTAAGCTTGGTTTCAATGATTTTAAATGTGAAATCACCGAAGATTGCCCTTCGTACTGTAATTGTTCGATAATTGCAAAAGAAAAATTATTAGTAAATTGTAGCAATCGAGGATTAGATAAGTTCCCAAATTTTGCACCATGGAATACTTCTATTCTTGATCTATCCGGTAATCATCTTACTAGTTTGGACGATTTGAAAGAGGCAATTTGGGAAAATGTGACAGAAGTTCTTTTGGATAACAATAATATAAGTGTTCTCAAAGATTGGAGTTTTCACAAAAACTTGGCGAAATTGTATCTAAACCGTAACTTATTGAGAGTTCTGCCGTATGGTTTTATGGATTACGCAGCCACCAAACCCACATTTGAAATAACTTTAGGAGAAAATCCGTGGCAATGCAACTGCGAAACTACAAATTTTAAAGCGTGGCTTACGGAAAACTATCGTAGAGTAAAAGACATTAATAAAGTTTATTGCGAAAATCAAAGAGACGAAAATGGAACCATGAATGTAATCAGAGTACCCGATGATATCATATGTCCACCAGATAATTGGCCACACAAAAAACAATTGATCACCGTGACAGTCATTGGTGTGTTATTAGCATTGTTACTATTTGTCATTTTAATTCTTTATTACAGAAACAGAAACACTGTGATAGCTTACTTTTATTTTCACTTTAATTTTGTTTTCTTTTGTCTATACAATGAAGATGAATTAGATGAAGATAAACTATTCGATGCCTTTGTCTCTTATAGTAGTAATGATCGTGATATTATGATGGCACTCTTGAACGAACTAGAAAATAAAGATCCATCGTTTAAACTGTGCATCCACGAAAGAGATTGGATGCCAGGAAATTTAATAAGTTTAAACATTGTTAATTCTGTTCAGTACAGTAGAAGAACTATTTTAATTTTAACACAAGATTTCTTGGAAAGTGTATGGTTTCAAGTAGAGTTTCAGACTGCTTATCACCAAATGTTAGAAGATAAAGTAAATCGATTAATTGTTATCGTAAAAGGAGATTTGCCACCGAAAGAGACTTTAGATAAGAATTTACAAGTGATTTTATCAACTAAAACATATTTAGTATGGGGCGAAAGATGGTTCTGGGAGAAATTAAGATATGCCATGCCTCACAAAAAGAAACCATTGTCCAGCACCGATCATCGCATTGTTCTTAGTACAAAAACTGCCAATCCAGATTTGTTAAAATCTGTGGAAGACAAAATGTCTAGTTTCATATATCTACCGGACAGTAGGAACGTAGAGATGAAATGTGTCAAGTCTGATCCTAAAATGATCGCACCGAGTCAAGCGGACAGTGGAATTTATTCATTAGAATCAATTTCCACAGAAAATATCATCTCTGAATCGGATGATGTTTGAATCTGTGATAAACGTAATGTAAAAAGTTCAAAATTCTTAAGTTCAAAGTTCAGATAAACGTGTACAATACGAACATTTCCATCAATGCCAGTAAAACGAATGTTGTGTGTGTGTTTTTCATTAAATGTACAATTCATAATTTATGTTGAATATCTACCTCACAATAAAATCATTTTTGTATTATTTCCATAAAAATAAATGAATTAATTAAAATTAAAATTTTTAATATTTATGAATGGTAAAATCATGATTAACAGACAAATTGGATCATATTTTGAATTTGTCTTATAAACACATTTATTTTGTTTTTATTTTTTTTTATACAAGGTAAAATTTTGTCTAAAATATATCATAATAAAGAAAATTACTTTAAAAAATCATTATTTTTTAACGTTTTTCCCCGTAAGCATCAATAAGACTTTTTTTTTTAAATGTTTCTCATGGGATGGGGCGGAATGCCCTCGAGATATGCCAGAAGATACGACCTAAATTTAAATTTAGATCCTCCAGAACCGTTGTAGATTGTTTGGAGATTAACCAACCGATCGATCACATCCCCTGAAGATTCACGAGGCATTCGCAGCTTCTTCAATCAGTTCTAGCATGCACCATATAATACAGAATCCTGAAGTGTTCAGTTGAAATTCTGGAGACTGCCAGAATTCAGGTAGATGTATCCTGTATTCTATCCCGATTAGCCCAGAGCTAATCGAAACTAATTCACCAGAAAGATAACACGTGTCATATCCATCTGACCGTAACAATGTATTGTTACATAATTACAATTTGTAAACTGCATTTTGTAATGAGTATAAATTGCTTCTATTACAAGAAAGTATTGTAAATAATAACGGATTTTTTGTTTTAATTTTAAACTCTCTCTTTCCTGTGGACATTAACGGAAGATTCAGCCAGGCTCACAATGAGGATGATCGGATGAAGAAGACAGGATCCGATTACTAAAATAATTGGATATTTTCATGAAATACATTAGAAAAAACGTGTATAAAATATATAAAAAAAATGTTTTGATCTATATATTTCACTCGATGGAGTAATAGAGGATGTAAATAAGTATTTTTAGATGTTATCTCCAAAATTAATGACGGTGTTTGAGATGTATATAAGTTTAACGACTGCTTTACCTTCTATAGACTTTGGGCTTCCATAAATTACGTAACGCAGATATGGGTGAATAAGTATGCAGGTAATCATTACAATGAATTAAAAGGGGGTGGGGTATTACAAAACGTTACGTAACGCTAGAATCTCGACCTTAAGGCAACAGAATGATTCCGAACCGTACTTTTTATGTCGCTGTTTTCCACGTTATACATGTAATTTACGTTACGTGCTGTGTTTTATTCCTTAGCAGAATTAAAGGGGTTGATCGAGGATATGCTGGAGACAGTATTACGGAATATTACAGGAGGATAGAATGGTAGTTTAAAGCTATGTAATTTATAAAATATCCCTTTTATTCATGAATATCATCTTTGAATATAAATGCTATTTAATTAACAGATGATTATTCTTAAAACTAGTTTCCTAAGTTATTATATTGCTTAATTTTGAAATTTGCAAATCATCAATTCTTTATTAAATTGGTTAATTTGGAATGAATATTTATTGCCATATTAAATTATTCTTAGGAATATATTAATAAATGCTTTCTATTATTTATTTATTATTCTAAATTTACGAATTTTTGAATTCAAAATTAATTCGTTATGTATACATTTTTAAAATAAAGCTTTTGAATTATGTGAAAGTAATTGTTTCAGAATTAGATGTGTATCAAGAGGGTAGAGGTTTAGTGCTTCCATCTAGTGCTAAAAACTTTAAGTAAAATATATAAATTATACTTAAAGTTTAACGCTCTTCCTCCTCTATTTATGTGGCATAAGAATTGCGTTATTTCTCAAAATTTGATCGGTCGATTTTGATAAAAGTTCGCCATTTTTTTCCTTGAAAAATGAGAAATTCAAAAATGTAATAAAAGATAGGGGTACAGTACATCATATATGACTTCGTTTTCGAGGCACAGTGGGGTCAAAGTGTGAATGTCCGTGCTTCCTGAAGCGATTGAGCGAGTCTAACGGAATTTAGTAAACGAAAAGGTAAAATAAACAGCATTGTAACAGAAAATCGAGTCGAGAATAGGGAGATAGAGGGAGGTCATATGTCATATCTCGAGTGGGGTCGGATTTAATAAAGACTTTACTCGTTATTAGCATTTACAATTTTCTGAGAAACTTATTTATACTTTTAAATTTATGTCTTTTGTCTTTTTTTTATAATAAATAATAGTATAAAAGTTATTTTTTTTAAATAAAAATCTCGTAGCAGATGGTACCACACACAATTTTAACTTTGTGCTAATGTATCTTAGTATTTCTTAAACATGAATATTTTTCGCCGGAAAAGTTATGCAACTCGTTACTGGATTTTTTTTTCACTTCGTGCCAAATAGCGCACTAAAGACTAATAAGGAGAGAAACATCGAGACAGAATAATTTAGATCAGTGGTTCTTAATCTGTGGTGAACAACTTATGGGAATTTGGATAGAGATGTTTAAATATATATATATATATATATATATTTATTTAAGTTATAACTTTTTTAGCATTTTCTTTACAGGATATTTTACTACTTTTTTCTATAAAATAATAATGATTTAATTATTTTTTATTAATTAATTTCACTTCGTGTTGGTTATTGTTAATATTCACATAATTAAAAATATCATTCAAAAATTATTTTAAAAGTACAGAACAATGTATTATACCCAAAAATGATGCCAGATGGAAGCTAGGATTTATCATATTTAAATAACCAATATAAAATAAATACTTTATTAACACTTTTAATCCTTTTATACTTTAGTGAATTTAATTATATATGAAAAACAATTTTTAAATTATTTATTATACAGCAAATACATACAATAGTTTACGTATGTAATATATAGTAATGTAAATTAAACGAATTACACTTTCATAATAATAATAATAATAATAAATACGACTAACTTTTAAAATGTATTAGCCAATACTAAAAATATTTTCCTTGTCTTTATAATAGACGAATTTCAAGAAATGTTCCTATAATTTTTATACTGAAGTGTAGACAATGCTTTACATTAAAAGAACATTTAAATATCCTTAAAATAAACTTATTTAATTATATATAAATAATTTAGCAAGATATTTTAAAAAATTAATTAAAAAATCCTAATAATAATGTCTTAAAAAATAAGGAAACTATCTTATTAACAGATAGTTTTCGAGTAGATAGGTACAGTTTCTTGAGGGTAGATTGCTTTTCCATTTGTAGTACCATAATATGTTAATTTCGAACGATTCCTGAAAAAATATTTATTATATAATTGTGACTTTTTTTAATTTAAAACAAATTTATTTACATATAATTTATTCTAAATAAATATAAGGTTGATCTAAAAGTCAGTTAACCTCTCATTTAAGCTTCTTGTGTAATAATACAGGGGTAATAATGTCGATAGTCTCTCAACTCACATTTAAAGTTTATTCTGTGCATTAGGATAAATACAGATATGGAGATTTTACGAAAAGTAATGTAAATAATGATTATGGAAAGTGGAACATCCGGCATTCGAAGCGTGCAAGATGCAAAAATGGAGGCCAGTTAGTTCCGATGTACTAGTTGTATCATTAATTTATGTTGAACAAGTGGGTATGAATTAATAAATAAGTTATGTTGGTTCGTATGCTACCATTATTCACTAATCTGACGTATTAACAGTTAAAACTTTATTACGTTACAACAAATGCTGAAAATGTTCTTCTTCCTGAAAACACAAATTGACATTTTGCATTTCTTTCTTAATTTAATACTTTGCGTAATCTTGAATTGATCAATGTCCAAATTTCTCCACGGACCATCAAAATTTCCTCGCAGATTATCTTGGTCCACAAACACCGGTTGGCGATTGCTAGTCTAGGGTATGTGTACTTTTTCTGTACACTCTGCCCTTCAAGAATCCCCACAGAAAGTAATTGGGATGTCGAGTTTGGGGATCTTGGTGACCATAAATTTTGGGAAATTATGCGATTTCCGAACAATTCATGCAGCATTGTCATCGTCTTCCTGGCAGTAACGGCGCTATGTAGTGTACTGTACGTATGTACAGTACATAAAATTACGTTATCACTCATTCGCCCGCAATAATCTTTCAAAGTTTGAGTTGGAGGTCTTCATGAACTCTCTGTAGCTATTTAAAACGAATAGACGACATTCAAATACATTTCGTTTAACTGACTTTTGGGCCATCCCATATATTTTATACAAAGGAATTTATATTATAAAAACAATAATTTTCTGAAATATGAACAGTATTTAATAAGATTATATACTTACATTCCCAAGTTATTCATAGGAACGATTTTTATGCATTTTACATAAAGCTTATTATCAATTTGCGGTCTTGTAGTGTACCAAAAAAATTCTAAATTTGTTATAGGATCGATTTTATGAGTAGTTATCATTAAATAACTATACGTTTTACTAGGATTAAATATATCTGTAGCATCTTGAATGTACAAACTGTAAGAAATATAAAGTGAATTTCATAAATTTTACGTTTCTTTTAAAATTCATTTTTATAAAATTTACTACATACTCGCTGTTCAATACTTGATTAACTGTACTGTTATTTATGATTAATATTAATTTTCCAGCTTCTGTTGAGCTGTTTTGCTTGGAAGCCAAAGTAACTTCTACGTGATATTGATACACTGAATGCAAATTATAACAAAGAATAATTATAAGATCGTGAGAAAGTTAATCAATAACTATTAGTAAATAAACTACAAGTTATTATTACTATAATATGGATTTAAACTCACAGCAATAGTTATCAGTGAAAGTTGTAGCCAAATACATGGTTATTGTTCCATTTATTATTTTATTGCTATATTTTTCTGCTTGAATTCCTAAAGCTGCACATTGTTTTCCGTCTTCTCCACATTTGTAACATTCTCCTCTAGTAAAAGTTTTCATATCTTTGCACTGATAACCCACAGGTAAGCATTCAGAATAAAAAGTAGAAGTAAACAGGTAAACTGTTCGCATATGAGTGCATCGAAACAACGTGTCTGTAGAATATATAAAATCAATCTATTATTTATATCATAAATAACAAATATACATAACAAATCACCTCATTTAAAATTAATTTTTCTAACAAATTCAATTTATAAATGACACGTGGCACATATGGCCAGCTATACAGGTTAATAACACAGACTGTACAGACTACCATGTTATGGATGAGTCTGACCATCAACGAACTCAATCATCAATAAATAGAATGATGATATTAATATTAATTGACGTAAATATGAATTTTTACCAAAATTTAAATCAAGAATCTCTTCCGCGCACCCTTTACCAATTTTCCCTCCATCTGGTTTAAAGTGTATATGTCCAGTTGGTTGTTCAATAATCAACTGTGCTAGAAATTAAAAATAAAAAAAAAGTTAAAGATAAATAATATACTGTATAAAATATAAAAATAAGTACTTATTTAACAATACTAACTAGCACTTGAAACAGAAATAACGTCTACGAATTTTGCATCTGTATAATGAAGCTTATATTTTGATGAAAAACTTGCAAAGCAGAAACCTGCGATATCCAACCCTAAAGATTATAGAAAAACTATTAAAATTTTCAAATTTATTAAACATATATTATATATATATATATTTTTTTTTACCAGTAATTCTTCCAATTTTTCCCGTTTTCAAATACTTTCCAATAAATCCTACTGTCTGACCTCCAAGACTAAATCCAATTACATGGAATTTTTCAAACTGGATTTCTTTGCAAGTTTTCTATGCAAAAAAATGCAAATAAAATGCCAACTGAAACTACAAATTAATAACATTCAGTATAATTATTTCTTACCTTCCAAATTTCAAACTGTTCTGCAATGTACTTTCCTATTATAAGAGTATTTCTTATGGCAGTCGGGAATATTAAAGCTGAAGATGCTATACTCCAGTCTATTACAATTACATTGCAATCTTCATACTTAAGGTAAGCCTGTTTTAAGAACTATATAATTTAATTAATTATTAAATAATGTAATATATGGGAAATCAAATTGAAACGAGAGTAAAATTATTTATCTTACAATAATATGTTCACTATTGGGACTACCGTTATATCCATCTAATAAAATAACAGTTTTTTTATTAGGATCATAATTACTATTTTTAGAACAGTTTACGAATGTTATATTTTCTGGATAATATAGATTTTTTCTTGTGTAGAGAAAGAAAAATGTTGGAGGAACAGAAGCATGTTCTGCACCGAAAAATATTATTTCTTCACATAAAGGGCACGGAATATCGGCATTAATTTCTGCAAATAAAAAGAATTAAACGTATTTTTTAAATATATATTTATAATTAAATAGGATAAGAGGATAATATCCTAGTTTTTTTTAAGTATAGAAAGGAAACAATTGTTGAAATTATCACTCTGTAATATAATATAAAGTAACAAAATGGTAGAAATCTAACAGTAGGAAACGTGTTCAAATAATCTGTTGAAAAATTCTTTAGTCAAGAAGACATAACATTGAAATGTGCTAGGAATAATAATAAACTGAATGTAAAAAGTTTTAAGTATAAACCTCGTATAACATGGTACTTTTTCGGAACATAGCTACCGTATTATACGAGGGATACATGTAGTTTAAATAGATTTCTCAAAATTAAAACATTAATAACGTATTTAAAATAGAGTATAATTAACAGTTCTTCATCGAACAGTTGCTCATATTTCCTTACGGTTTCTTAAAGAAAAGGGAGGCAGATATAAGGTTACGATGATAACTTCGCTAAGTATAAATCTGTATCTACTATTAGGATCATTTTGAAATTTTTTATTTTTGCAATAATTTGAAAGTTAAACAGCGGAAAAAGTTTTCTACAATCTATTAGATATTTTCACAATTATGAGTTTGTGGAAAAAAATTAGCTAAAATCATCGTGCAAATCAATCACTGGATTACACTCGGTTCGATGCGACTACATTTTGCATGATTTGTAGATGTAAAGCTAAAAATGATTTGCAATTGCAGGCGTAAAAATTTATTTTTCTAATAAACAGTTGCAGTTACAGTAGTAGCGGCCTCGCTTTTCAGCATACCCGGAAAGTAGAAGGAAAGAAGGGAGGGGAGGGGAGGAGAGGGGAGGGAAAGGAACGAAGGAAGGAAGAAAGGAAGGAAGGAAAGTGGTTGGGGATCACTTGGGGCTGATAGGACCGTAAAAACGAACCCCAAACGAACCCCAAACCCCTTAGCAGTGCTGCTAATCAGATAACTAGCAATACGACCAACGAGTATATACAAAATATTCAGGAGTACAGTACATGACAACTTACAGAACAGTACAAATGGCTTAATACACGTGGAGTTAAGCCCAAAAAATGTGTAAAGTGAAGAACAGTATGCAACAGAACGATCCCGAGAATTAGTGAATCCTACCGCAATTGATGCCACAGAAACCGCTGAACAAAGTAACCAGTTAACCAAACAGCAGAGGTTTCATTGACTACAACACTGGGGAGACCCCCGGGCGCACTGTTAGCTGAGAATATTAATTTTATATACAAAATCAACAAGGGCATCATAAATGTCTTTATTTTTGAGGAACAAGTCTGGAGAACATGGCCACACTTCGAGTTGAGCTGAGACCGCTGCGATGAGGCTTCGTCGTTCCATGTTGTAGCGAGGGCACCTGTAAAGGAAATGGGCACTATTCTCCAATTCCCCGAGAGGACAGGGGCAGTACCCGTTACCTTTATTTAGGAAGCGTGCCAGATATGCACGCAAATTGCCGTGGTTGGTCAATAGTTGAGTAAGCACGTAGGAAGGAGTGAAGTAGGAGAACTTTGCCCTTTCCTTCAGCGACAAAATGAAACAATGGGTTGTCCTGCCAGTGGCACTATTATCCCACTGATGTTGCCAGCAGCTAAGAAAGTAGCTGTGCAGTTGCGTTAGAACCCAGCTGACTGGGAGCTGGGACCCTTGAGTAAGCACTTGAGTTTATGTTGGAAATCGTTTTTCTTGCGAAGAAGTCTGCACGATCGTTTCCCTTGTTGCCAGAATGGCCTTTTATCCATACCATTGTGATGTCCGATGCTCGATCCAAGGATGCCAACGTACTGATGATGTCGTTAACTATTGGGAGGTTCACGTTACACTTATTAATTTGATGTAATTTTGCTATTCGTTATGATTTCTATCTTGGCATTACTGAATTGTCCGGGCGTCTTCTGGATGTACTTGAGTGCCTTTAAGATGGCCAGGAACTCAGCTTGGTTATTACTACAGTGATTGTCTAACCTAAAGTACTGTTGATGGAGAATTCTACCACCCTGGTTATAAACCACAAACGAGCCCCCGGTACCACTATCAGTCCAGGACCCGTCAGTGTAGATATTGACCCCTGCAGAGTGCGGAACACCACCCTCCAGGAGAATCCGACAGCTTGGACCTATGGCTGGATGTGGATGCTTGCTTCTATCAGTCTTATCAATACCCTTTTCTATTAAAAAGTCCGTCAGTTTTGCAATGCTGTCCTCTTTATCAATTCATGTTGTCCTGGCATTGAAGCTCTCTCTAGTCAACTCCTTGCAACACAAACGTTTCAGAGTACAGAGGAGGTATATACGCTTTATATGTAAATCAATTGGCAGGAGGTTGGCTATGGAAAGAATACCGTCTGTTGGGGCTATCTTGTAGGCCCGTACAATGGACAGTGCTGAGAGTCGCTGTAGGGAGATGAGCTTCTGTCTTATATGAATCATTCTCACTCTGTACCCCCAGACCTCGCAACCGTAAGTGGCAATTTGCTGAGTGACCACAAGATATATGGTTTTCCTTGACTTGTAGTTAAGACCCCATTTGTTCCTACAATTGGAAACCAGAGCCCATGCAGCTTTCATGGCCTTCTCATATGTATAATACATATGCTCTTTCCAAAGCAGCTTATGGTCTATTAGGAGTCCCAGGTATTTTATTGAGTTGGAATGCTTGATGTGATGACCATTAATTTTAATCGATGGAGCTTTTTTTAGGGAGTTCCCTTTTGGGAAGACTATGCTGTTACACTTATTGTAGTTTATCCGGAGATTTATGCACATGCTCCAGTCATAAATTTGGGTGAGAAGATTGTTCATGGATTCCTGTAGGTTTTCCTGGTTTCGGTGGAACATTACAACTATCATGTCGTCCGCATATCCTTGTATCCTGGTGTTATTAGGCTTTCCATCCTGCATGTTAAGGAGACTGTTATAAATGATGTTCCATAACAAGGGTCCTGACTTTGAGCCTTGTGGGCAGCCCCTATTTATTGGGCGAATATGCACCAGCCTATTTTCACTATAAATGGCCGCACTGCGGTCTTTTAAATAGCTTTGGATAATCCTGTAAAGGTTACCTGGGCAGTTGGCGTTGCCAAGCTGGTGCAAAATCTCTAGCCACCAGGCGTGGTCAAAGGCTCCCTTAAAGTCGATTGCTACTAGGAGAGTATGATTACCTGCCTTCTTGGCAGCATTTATGTATTCAATTAAGTTGTCCAGGGCATTCACTTTTCTCTTTCCGGAAGACAAACTGGAGTGGGTGGAGAAAATTCAATTGGTCTAGGTGGAATTTGACCCTATTTATAACTAAAGAGTCCAGGACCTTACCAAAGAAGAGCAGAAGGGAGATAGGATGGTAGTCAGATGGCACTGAAAGCACCTATCTGGGTTTTTTTGGAATTAACTTTACTGAGGCCTTTTTCCAGGAAAGCAGAAAATAACCAATCTCTAAACACTTGTTAAAAATCACCTGGAATGTTGTGGGGAGGTCCTCATAGGCCTCTTTCGCCATCCGCCAAGTGATATTATCTGGCCCTGGCGCCTTGTGTGGTTTGATATTCTTGAATTCCTTCTGTATTTCCCTAGCACTAAACGGTTTGTCATCTATGAGACCTTTATAGGTATTTGCCTTTTGTCTAATATTTCTTTGGCCCTCCGAATGCTGGCATGAGGTGTCCTGCGGGAAGAGCACTTCCATTATAAGCTCACAGGATTCCCTTACTGAACTGGTAAATGTCCCGTCCTCTTTCTTCATTGTTGGTGGAATACTGACGGGTTTCTTTTTTCCTCTCACTATGTAATAAGGAGTGGACCAAGGGCTACTCCCACACCTTTCTGTACAAAAATCTTGCCGGGCTTTAGACGTACTGTGTTTATCAGCCTTTTATATTGACTGTATTTGTCCTTGTATTCTTTTCTCTTATGTTCCTTCTCAGTACAGTCCTCTTCTCTCCAGAATTTTCTTTTGCATCTTTTTACCTCTTTTCTCATCCTGTTAAGCTCCGTATTCCACCATGGAGTATTTTCCTTTATTAATTTAATTCTTGTGGCCTTCTGATAAGCTCTATGTATTATGTTTCACAGACAGCTTACTGTATAGTCGATTTCTTTTCCACATGAGATATTGATCAATGGGTCCGGCTTCCACATTTTAGTTAGGTATTGACCAAAGAGTTCCCAATTCGTTAGGTTGACAATTTTATTGCGATCCCGAACCTTACTATCATCGATATTTAAAAGGATATAGTTGTGATCACTAGCAGAAATAATATCCAAAGTATTACAGTCTACTTTTCTGGTCAGTAGGGCAGCGTTGCCTAGACTGACATCCACCCAACTCTCCCCCACATCGGTGGAGAAGGTTGGTAATGGGCTACTATTAAGGAAGGACAAGTAATGCCCTGCCATAAATTCCATGAGCAGATAACCCCTTGGATCCTCAATCGGGCTGTGCCATAAGTGTGATTTTGCATTAAAGTCTCCGGTTATAAGCACCTGTTCTTTTTTCAAATTATCCATAGTATGGCTTAGCATATTTAATGGGGGTGAGGTCATCCCCTGGCGGGCAGTAAAAGGATATAATGTATAGAGAGTCAGCACTGGTGACAATCCTTACCATTGTATAGTACTGATTCGAGTACTGGGCTATCAGTTGTGCAGTAATATCTTTGTTATAAATAACTAGCCCGACCTTAATATTTCCATTTGGGTACTTCGCCGCATAGACCATTGCTGATCCCAACATTGCCACCTTTTTATTAACATATGGCTCCTGAAAGCAGAGAATATCGATCTCATGATCGTGGACCATTTGGAGGGCCTCTGATGATGCTGCCTTCTCCCAAATCAACCTCTGGAGGTTGATTTGGAGTAACCTAATACCCCTCTTGACATGACTGTCACTGGGGGCAGAGATGCTGAGGGGTTTCGTTACCGTTGTACTAGCCATTGAAGGGGGGGTACACAGATACTGGAGGAGGTCCCTTTAATAACTGGTGTTAGCTATCACTTGAGTTTTGGACCATTTCAAGCAGGGCAGTTTGCAGCGAAGGCATTATGATCTGTATCTAGTTTCTTACTTGTTGGGTTATCCTTATTAAATTTGGCACAGTTGGAGCATTTTGGCTCTTTGTCTCGATTTGGACAGTCCTTTAATCTATGCTTATACCCACAGTGGCTACATTTCTGCCTTAAATCACATCTGGTAGTTATGTGCCCATATCCACAGCAGTTAAAACACCTTACGATTGGTATGTGGTCATCTACCTGTATCGAATTCCAACCTATTGCCACACGCCCTGTTTCAATGAATCTACGTCTCAAAATGGGGGATACTGACAAGATGGCATGCTGTACTGTACATCCTTGTGTTTTGGAGTGATGAACCTCACTAAGGAGTACTCTCTCTTGAAGCACTCCATAGAATATTGCTTGCTTACCCTTGAGTTCTGGTAGAAAAGATCCTCCATCAGTTCCTCACTTTGCAGATCTTGGTGGTAGATTCAGAAGGATTTCGGGAGCCTTTTTCTTTTTTCCCTTACCTCCATTTTGTTGGCTAACTTGGTATTCTTTTCTATTGCTGCTTTTAAGGCCGTGGTATCTTTATTAGTTTTCACCTCTAAGGAGATATCACCGCTTGGAAGTGGCCTTATATTACCAATATTTAGGCCTAATTCCCTCGGCGATATGTTTTCTTGAAGCAACACCATTAACTCCTCTGCCACCGGCTTTGACTCGTTCTGAGCCTCCACCGAGGAGATAATCAACCTATGGGCATCTCCTTCCTTGACACCCACTCCGCCTTGTCTACCCGCTGATGCATTGATTAGTCTTGTTTCCCTGCTGGCCTTTCTATTGTTTTTCTTTACCACATCTGAATACAGCTGAGGGGTTAACTGAGGCACTGCAATGGCTTCCTTTTGCCTCATTTCAAGAATTATTCCAAACAACTGATTCGCCGCCGCGTGCATTTTTACTGCTGCATCACGGATTACTGCTCTTTCACTGCTTCTGACATTTTGACTAGTATTGTTTGGAATTCTTGTCATGATTGTTTCTAAGCAGGAGTTGATATTAGAGAGAAGTTCTTCTTCCACGTTTGGCTGTTCCGATCCACTATGGGTCGGGCTTCCTAATACATCCACATTCGATTGCTTTGCCATATGAGAAGGGGGAACTCACAGCACAATGGAAAAATCCATTATTAGTGTAGTATATTATTATATCCCATGTAATTAGTATATTAGTATATCGCTATTAACCTACTTCGCGTTGAATTTTCCTCCATGTTAATCCTATCAAATTTTTTTTAAAAATAATAATCGCCGCTATTGTATCGTCAAAAGTTAGAAAATTATGTCTCGTTTAAACTGGTTTACTGGCTCACTTTCATGGTCGATCCAATGTTGCCAGCTAAAACATGTAAAAATAATATTAAAGTAGCCAAGACATAGCCAAATATTGTAGCGCCACATCACTAGCGGACATTTGAATTTGTCGACTAGAACGCGGTCGGTTAACCGAGGTGACGGTTAATCTGTGGTCGGATAATCGATGCTCTACTGTAGTTCGTTTCGTTGAATAGCTACATCTCTGTGGATACAGTTTTCCAAAGCATGACGAGCATGGTACAGCCTAAGTATGACTCAACACGTCTTATAGTGGTCCGTTCAAACTTGAATGTTACAGGTGCATTCTACTCGGTTCATTTCAATTCGAAACGAACTATTTCAAGTATTTGTCACATCTTCCATGTTTTGCTGGCTGCTGAAGAGGTTCAGTGGTATGAAGTCCAGAAAATATCTCATATTTCTTATAAGATATTTTTGTATTTTTCAAAGTGTCACAGTAACATGTTGGCTATTCGTTTTAAAGAGTAAATAATATTACTGTCAATATATCCTGCTGCAGAATTCTGAATGTATTGCACTGTACATCTTTTACTACCTTTGATAGCTGGGTGGGTGTAGCAGAAAAGTGGAAACTTGCTTCTCTAAGTTCGAGTGCGACTTAGGAATTCAGGATTTTTCCGTCTACGATAATGTCGGATCCCGTTCCATATCACCCGGCTGTTCCTATTATGGAAGTAAATCCATAATGCATCGATGATTAAAGGCTCTGTTAGTGCCTACAAGGAGGAAGGGTGAAAAGAATCCTTTATATCTGTAGAAATGTAATTTAGGAATATGCCAAATTCATTATCAATGAAGAAATTTTAAACGTGTTTCCTTAGAGTTTACATTTAGAGAGATTTAAATTTAAAGAAGTTAAAGATAGTTTTCACTGAGTAACACTGTGAAAACTATAGAAATATTTAGTTTTCCACATCTAACAACTCGAGTATTTTCATCTCTGAATAGTATTTTCTTAATTCTAATAATTTTTCTATAAAGCTCTGTATTTACAAGTTCATACTTCCCAAGTAGTTTATAGGCATTGTGATATTATTCTTAAAATCAGATTTTACCACACATTTCTGAAATTTGCGATTAATAACGCCGGATGAAACAGTTACTGCAACTGGTATATTTATAATCCCAGACAACGCCGAGTGTAACAAGCTAGTATTCCCATACATTCAGATGGTTCTAAATCTGAGAACTACGCTGGTTTAGTCATGGTCTGTCATGATAAAATCGTGGTAGATCAGATTTCTTCTTTAGTCTCCACCTTCATTACAGAGTTGCATGCTATGCATTTAACTCTAAAGCATATCTAAACAGAATATCATTAATATGGTACTGTACTGTACGGTTGGTGGTTGTCTCCTGTACGCAAATACGCTGCATTGTAATTGCTCGTATTGGTTATAACATTGTTTATCAGATCTATTGGGAGCAAAACTCATTTTTGAACAAGAGAATCTCGAAGTTCCTGGAGTGTTCTTACCAGGAAATAGGCTGACGGGTGAACTAGTCAATAATTTTCTTGACAGTGAAGATATTTGACTCAAGGAATGGTCAGCAAGACATCCTGAACTAAAATTCATAAAATATATGTAGGGAGCCGAGTTTCATTCTGTCAGTTCCGCCAAAAACATTTCAAGTACTTCAAGATGCCCTTATTCAAGAATGAACTTCGCTATCGACAGAAATGATAAACAATGCTACGAAGTACAGTATAACCAGCATGAGCAAATTTCGTGCAGCTTATGTGTGTGTAAGAAGCAATCAAATGTCATATTTATCATTCTCTGTGCAAAAAGATTTACAAAAATGCTTAATACCCTTTTTTCTTGTTGTTTTTAGCTTGACACAAGTTAAATAAAGATTTCACTTTTCAGGTGTTTTGTTACATAAAGAATACAATGTTCTGGTCGGTAGTTTCTAAGATAAAGGCCCATCAAAGTGTAAATTCACATTTTTCCTTTATGTTAGATCTACTTGTTTGTTATTGTTTTTAAAGCTATATTTAATAACTTAATTTACATGTAATTTGATTAACAGGTAACAAGCAGTCAAGCTATACTGGTAATCATAATATAATTTTAAAAAATTAATGAGACTACATGCAAGATGCAACTAAATTATCCAAACTATTTATTGTTAATATACAATATAATAAAATATTTAAAATAAGTAGGAATAAAAATACAGCAAATATACACTACGAATTCGAGGATAATATAATAGCTCTATTAAATAAAATACAGATATATTAAGAGTTTTTAAAAGGAGCAATTAGTATTAATTATCAATAATATAATATAGGCCTACCTGTTATTAAATTGAACATAAATATAGAGAGTAGAACGTAAGCAAACATTCCAAGTTAAATTATTTATCTATGGATAAGTATTACTTCTCTTACGTCTTCTCAATGTCAGGCAAATAATTTTTAGTTAAATAAATTGCAAATAATGCTGACTGATTAAATTCATAAACTATGTAAGTATTTAATATTACAAAAAATATGAAACTTACAAATAACTGCTTAAACGAATTATATTTTGTTGATTGTAGTTACATATATCATTAAAGTAAACAGTATACGATACGATTTTTATCTAATCTAATTTATATGATATCCCGGATTTTATTTAACTATAAAACTTTTGCACATTTATATAAACCAAAAAATAATGATTAAAAATTTATATTAAACGCAAAGAAAACTCTATAATTTTTCCTAACAATTAATAAAAAGATGGAAGTATATGATTGCATCTTTCACCTGATTCACTTCCTTTCAAAAGTGACACATCTTTCAAATGTGTCACCAGGAAAGCTTACAACCGAAACATTCATCTATTGGCCACGACCTATAACATTACAAAAAAAAGCAATAGAAAAAACGTAAAAGTATGTAAGTAACGTAAAAATGTAAAAGTTCATAATGATACTTATTTTGTAGAAACTTTGTAGCAGGCGTAAAATTAGATGAATTATTGCTGAAACATAAAAAAACGTGTCTTATTTTCAAACAAAGGGAGCAATTCGGACATTCTCTTGTCCCATGATCCCTTTTGAGGTTGATATTTAGTTCCCCAAATAACAGTTAGATAAAATCACATTAACAACAAATAAACAGACGTCCCAGTCTTACCCCATGACCCCATCTTGCACCACCTTCCCCTACTCGTATTTTATTAATATTATTGTATTAATTTTTTAAAAAATAATTTATTTATAAGTAATCTAAAAATTTAACTGATTTTCATTTTTAACTAATAGTAATTACGAATAAAACATTCGTAATTTTGACTAGAAAATACATGGCCACCTACATACCTACCAGGACTGAACCTGACCATAAAATATAGTTTAAATAGCATTACTTTGATATCGGATTTTAATAAACCGAAAGCTTTTTTTTTTAATTCGCGAGTTTTTGTATTAAAAAAATTATAAATAATTTAATACTTTAAATCCCAAACAACAATAGATTTTATTAGGGCAAAGATTCACAAACTTTATAAATTACGCTTTATATCATTTAAAAGTCTTTCCTTTTCTTAACAAAAATATTTGAGACAAACAATGAAGCAGCAACAATTGAATATGAAAAAAAAAAACTTCAAAATATTTTTCTTAAGAAAATAAATTGTAGACAAATTTCCACTGTCGTTTGTCTGTCCTTCTTTAATCTCGAGAATGGAGTTAGATAGATAAAAGATGAAGCCAGATAAGGAAACCATAGAGGCGGAAGACCCCGATTAACTATATACGAACGACCTATATAAATCGGAAGTTATGTTTATTTTAATTCAAAAATTTTCTTCCGAAAGGTGTTAAATAGATGACCGGCACGACTCTATTACTAACAGAAAAAGTATGACAAGACATTACTAATTTGAAGTGGAGATAATATATTTTAAATATTAAATACAATTAAATATTTATTTGTTTTAAATATTTTATTGAATTGGAAGTGACTAAGCAACCATTTGTATTTTCAGTATGGTTTTTCGATGAAAACATCTGTTGTTCGTTACGTAAATTTCGAAAATATAAAATATNTAATTATATACGAACGACCTATATAAATCGGAAGTTATGTTTATTTTAATTCAAAAATTTTCTTCCGAAAGGTGTTAAATAGATGACCGGCACGACTCTATTACTAACAGAAAAAGTATGACAAGACATTACTAATTTGAAGTGGAGATAATATATTTTAAATATTAAATACAATTAAATATTTATTTGTTTTAAATATTTTATTGAATTGGAAGTGACTAAGCAACCATTTGTATTTTCAATATGGTTTTTCGATGAAAACATCTGTTGTTCGTTACGTAAATTTCGAAAATATAAAATATAAAATCACGCACTTTTAAAATATTTTCAGTAGACAATTTTACAATATTGCAGCAATGTTTGCTAGTTTTATTCTCCCGTTATTTTTGTTGAATGAGATATCAGGTATATTTATTTATTTTTAATTATTAATATGTAATTCTGTTTTAATCGTAATAAACAATAAAATATTGTGCAAGTAATAGACTAATATTTCTCTATTATTATATATTTGAAATAATTTTTATCGCTTTTATTGATCAACAATCAGTTTAGTAGATTTTTAACGTGTATGACACTATATAATTTTATTAATTTAATTAGAATAACGCCACTCAGGTCGCACTTTATGTGTTTCTATTAGTGGCCTGATTATTCAGAGATTTAAATCTCTAATGTTGATAAATAATCTCTATGTTGATAAATATACTATACATTTGAAGTTCTGCTATAATAAATAGACTAAAAATTAAATTTTTATAAGTGTATAAGTATAAAATATTTAAGTGTATAAGTATTTAAAATGTCAACTGTACATATGCAGAGATTCGAAAAGTCTTATTAAAATTATCATCAGCACCTGCCTAATTTTATTAACAGATGCTGTTCTGTAAATTCTGATTTATCTGAATTATCTATAATAATATATATTGAACAAATATATAAGCTAGACATTAAGAATTTATAAGTCTTTAATTTGAAAATTGCAGCTCAAATTTAATTTCTGATAATTAAAACTTGTTATTGTTTACATTCTAATTTATTATATGTTAAACAACAATAATAGTTTTCATATGCCATTCACAATTAAATGGCTTTGAAATAATAGTATATGCTTTTATTCCATCAATTCAATTAAATTCAATTTAATTTTCTTAGTATAATTATTAGTATTATTGATTTACTGATAACATAACCTTTACATTTATATAAAAATTATTTATAATTAATTTTAGAAATATTAAAAAATGCCCGTGAAATTAGTGCAATTAAGCAATTTGCTTTTTCATAGTAATTAATAATATAAAAGTTATTTTTAAATAAAATCTCATAACATATGGCGACACATAATTTTAACTGTTTGCTAGTGTGTAATGGTATTTTTTTTAAACTTAAATATTTTTTAAATGAGATTTTTATCATAATTTCACAAGATTAGTCCTTTTAAACTTTTATTATTATTTCAATTTTATAGCGTAGTATAATTGAGAATTATTAGACTCCCCGGTCTCCTTAAATTCCTGTTCGAGTGCAAGAGCCCTTTCCAGCTTTTTTGGATTAAAATATCATATACTCTAATATTCTAACAGATTAAGTTACTAAATAATAAAAGATTAAGTTGGTCTTTTATAAAATGGTGTTTTATTTTCAACAAAATGTATAGAAATCACAAGAGAAAACTGATTATACGTACGAAAAGGTTCAGAAAGCAGTAGAGAGAGTTTGTTATAATATAATTTTAACATTATAACACAAATTATAATGTTAAAATATGTGTATTTATTCTATTCCAGGGTTATTAATATATTTTGACACAAGTTATTATCGTTTTAAAGTTAGTATTCACAGTGAAATATCGCAAGAAATACACTGAAATTCTTTTCAAATGCAATAACGAAACGTTATTTGCAATAAATATAATGAAATTGTGCCTAAAATTCAAGTATATTTTTAGCAAATTTTAGAAAGGCTAGTTTTATAACTATTAAACTTCACCTGATCCTATATTAATTTTAAATAATTATTAATTTTTTTCTTCCATAGCTTCAAATGCTCTAATTGAGTGCCCTATATCGGCAGAAGAGCTTTTTTACGGAGCAGAAAATGATTATGTTTATCCAATTTCTTTTCTACTTTATACTTCACATAACCGGTATTATCCTGAGAATTTAACATTTGCCAATTGTTATGGGAATACTAACTACAATCCAAAGTTGAAAACAGTAATGATAATAAGTGGATACGAGATGGATCCTTATGCTGAACCTATTATAGTAAGAAAACAATCGAAAAGAGAAATAAAATTACTAAATCTAAGGATTATAATTTAAAAATAATACGTAAAATTTAATTTCCAAAATCATTAATCGATTTTATTTTTGTAGTTTTTAAAAGCCGCTTATTTATATTACCAACATTGTAATGTGATCATTGTGGATTGGAGTTTAGGAGCTGCTCTTCCTCTATTTCCTTATGCAGTAAGAAACACGCTACCGACAGGCAAATATATCGCAGAACAATTAGAAAGTTTAAAGGTAAGAATTCATTTTATAAAGCATTTTTTTTTCTTTCTATTTAATAAACTTTTTTCCGATTCTTACAGAGAAACTGCGACGAAATCGATTTTTCCAATTTTCATATAATTGGATATAGTCTGGGATGTCAGGTAGCGGGATTTCTTGCAAATCATTTAAAAATAGGAAAGATTGGAAGAATTACAGGCAAAATTTATTATATTTAAATTAAATTTTAAACTGTATTTTTCTTAATTTAATTTCTTAAATTTATGCTTTTACTAGGATTAGATTGTGCTGGCACCTGCTTCGAAGGGAATGCACCAGAATTTAAACTTGATATTTCAGATGCATATTTTGTAGATTTTATAACTACTTCAATATCCTGTTAATATTTTTCTTAATTTAATCTTTCTAAATTTTATATTTTATTCTTATTTACAAAAGTTTTAACATTTAGTGCAAGGTTTCGTGAATGAATCAGCCGGACATTTGAATTTTAAACCAGACGGAGGCCATATTGGTAGGGGATGTGGAGATGAATATCTAATGCGAAATAAGGAATTAGATTTTGCATATGAGTTCGCCGGTATTTATAAAAACATTTATTAATTAAAAGTTTAAAACAAGATTACACATAATTCATTTAATGTAAATTTAATAGTTTTATAAATATTTTAGGTATTGTAATTCCTGAAATAGTATTCGAATGTTCTCATACACGTGCAGTTTATCTTTTCGGTTCTTCTCTTTACTCTAAAATTCCTCCCGTTGCTTATCAATGTAAGGACTATGAAACCTTTAAGAGAGGAGAATGTAGCGAATGTGGTGAAGATGGTAAACGATGCGCTATGTTGGGAATACATGCAGAAAAGTACCCTTATAGAAGCACAAATGAAACCGTAACGATGTACATGGCTACAACATTCACTAATGATTACTTTTGTGAGTTTTACTTCATAATTTAAATCAATATTTAATTTTGCATTGTATGAAAAGTTTAATTTACGAATGTTTTACAATTACAAAATTTAATTTTAAAATTGTTTACGGTATTTAGTGTACCATTATCACGTTGAAGTCACACTGGGTTCGGGTCCGAATATTACAACCGAAGTAGGTAAAATGCTTCTGGTTATAAATTACGATCGAAGTGAAACAGTAAACGTTGTACTGGATGAAGTGTTCGTATTAATATAATTTTAAATTTTTAACATTGTTTTAATGTGTTAAATTGAATAAATCGTTTTATATTTCAGTTTGTATGTCAATTATAATACAGACACGCTTAGACCTGGCGAAAAGAAACAATCTTTAATAGTCTCTACTTATAGTATCTATCCAGTAATTAGTTTGGAGTTTATTTGGTACACTACACTACCACGTGCAGACAGCAAGTTATCTGTGAAGTGCGTTAAGATTGTTCCTATGAATAACTTGGAGACGTAAGTTGCCTTTCTATTAAGAATCATAAATTTATATTATTATTATAACGTATACAGCTATTGTGCAGTGGTCTAACCGAATAAATCGTAAATATTTATTTATTTTCAGAGATCGCTCCCGTTTGACTATGTATGGCACTTCATACGGTGGACCAATTTATCCTGAAGAATTTGTGTTGTTGAATTTGGTTGCAAGTTGTTAGAGATATGAGATTGATTTCTAATAATTTCGTTCTATATACATTTAGTTAAATCATATAGTATATTTGTGACAATTCAAATATAGATAATAATTTACAAAATTTATGATTAATTAAAAAATATGTTACATGGTGAAGGAATTAATAGAATATTTATATTTATTATACAAAATATTGTTTTTTATTGTATTAATAAATACATTTGTCATAATTGAAAATAAAATTACAATCGATACTTTAAATCTGTTCTTCTTACTGACAAAAAGTCGTCGCGACGTCGCTATTTACTTTTGTTGTCTACTGTTTTGAACAGACTCTTTTTGAACAAAGTAACAATATGAGCATTTAAAGTATTTGAATAATTAACGTAGAATATAATACGGTATATTTTGTTTAGTTCTTAACTTGAAGTGCGGACTAGGATTGCCACCTTTCTATATCGGACTAACAGTGACCAAGTAAATAAAACCACTGAGCACTGAGCACTAGTGATTGGTGTTTCTGATCCTAACACACAGTCTAACACGACAGTGTAGTCTAACACACAGTGACTACTGTAGTTTCTCGTAGAGAGTTCTCTTATGAAGAAACTCGTTAGAAGATTGTCGTGTTGTGCTCCCTCATCCCCATCAACCATCTAACGAATCTTTCCAAAACCTATGAACCGGAAGTTACGGAGAAAGAAAGCAAAAACTGTACACTGTCATTGCATAAAACATATACGGAGAAAACTGACAGATTACAGAAACTCATATTTATATTAGGAAAATATAGCTAGTTACACGATTTCCCTAATTAGTGAGCTCATCTCTAAGAATATTTTGATACGTGCACATGCATCACTCTCTGAATATCAAGACAGTATTCCATTGATTGTCACTCGAGGCGTGTTACGTGTTACGTAATACCTTACGTAAAATGCCTTGAGTGACAGTTTCCACTGCATTTATTATGCAACTTATTAATGTCTCAATATCTGAAATATTAAAAGCTTGCTATTTCGTTGCTTGCAACGCCAAAGGTTCCAAAGCGGTGAGTTATGACGCTTCAATCATCATTACTTACAAAAGATACTTATTGATTACTCGTAGAGAAAACACGTTAAGGGAGCAACGAAAGTACGTTATTAAATCTTGTAGAATTATTTCACTGTGTTTTCTATTGTTATAACGTTAGGTATGAAATCGGTATACTTATTGTATCTGAAAGAAACTGCCACGAAGTTTAGTAAAAGTATTTGTAAACGAAAAGTTCGACAACCGAAAGCTCGGCTCAGTATCCAGGATTTGCTCACAAGACTTGTAACAAGCTAACTCTAACTATTCCGAGCTATACAGACAAGTGTTTCTCAGTTTATCTAAATAATTATTGTGAATATTTTATTTAACTACGGCAAAATTAATACAGTAGATTCCCAATTATCCGTGTAAATCAATTCTCAGACGTAAGAAAATTCACTTCTATTACAAAGTAAGTTAATCTATCTTCGAAAATATTTTTACTCTGCTTTCAATGTAAATTGATACAATATACGTAGTCTGTTTTTATTTCAAGTTCCGATGGTACATAAAAAAAGACAAGTGTAAATAACAAACTGAATTTATTACCAAAAGTTAGGTACAAAAACATGGTTACTTTTCGACATAATCACCGTGAAGATTGAGGAATTTGTCATATCTGTGGACGAGCTTTTCCATTCCCTTGTCATAGAATGTTGCTGCCAACGACTTGAGATGGTCTTTAAAGTTGTTTTGAAGTTCGTCATTAGTCTCAAACCTTTGCCCTGCTAGCTACGTTTTCAGTTCAGGAAAGAGGTGGAAGTCCTCACATATTAAAAAGTTTTAAGCTGGATGGAAGTCTGAAAGGTGGAAGTTTTCACCACCTTTAAACACCCAGCATATAGTCCCGATTTAGCGCCGAGTGACTTCCACCTCTTTCCTGAACAGGAAAAGTGACTAGGAGGGCAGAGGTTCGAGATTAATAACGATCTCCAAAAAACGTTAGGCCCCATCTCAAGTCATTGGCGGCAACATTCTATGATAAAGGGATGAAAAAGCTCATCCACAGATATGAAAAATTCCTCAATCTTCACGGTGATTATGTCGAAAAGTAAGCATGTTTGTACCTAACTTTTGGTAATAAATTGATTTTGTTATTTACACTTGTCTTTCTATTATGGACCATCGGAGATCGAACAAAAAACCGCCCTCGTATATAGGCTATAAGGGAGAGTCAAGTCAATGTATTGATAAAAAATGTCATATAATCTTTAACGCAGTTTATACTTCTTGCAATATATATTTTCCGTAGGTTACAGAGACCACGGATTACTCTAAAATAAGATTCTTTTGGTTGCTTGTAGAGCTACTCATGCACCGCCTTCTGAATCTCAGCACGTTTAAATGATCCAAATAAGAGGTATGAGAGTATAGAGTGAGTAAAACACTCCATGTGTAGTTTTTCCATGAATGAAACTGTCAAATGAGTAATATGCAATTTCGCATTGTCTTGTTACTGAAGAACCCTATTATGTTAAACAAGGATAATATAGCCTAATGTGCTAAAACGTGAATGATGGTAAATAATTAAGTTACTGCATCCAAGTAGCAAGAAAGTTTACCTGTACGATGCGTTAATCTTCAGTTTTTGGTGTTACAACTTGGGACACCATAGGGACTGTTCCGTATGGCGTCTTGGAATATGTCAGACTAGCTATGGTGAGTCTGAAAATGTCCGCTGAAACAGTGCGGCTGGAGATGTCTGCCTATGTATGGCGTTCGATGCAGTCCACCCCAACTTGACTTACTGCCTCCTTTTTATCCAATCTAGCCTGGGAAAAGCCCATCAGATGATAGGATGTTTAATGACATCGGCAGGTATGAGGTTAGAGGTCTCCGTTGATGATGTTATGATGCCATCCAAATGAAACTATCCTGACTATATTTGGTTCGATTCCTTCTATTTATACAGAAATTAGTATGGGGTATTTCGATATTTCGTTTTCAAGGATAAAGAAAAATAAAAGACATTACAACCACTGAAGAACTGATTAGTCCACGACTATACTTTCTTGTCAAGTAATTTTCAGATTGCAAAGAGGTCTTGTCAATGAGACAAAGTAGAATTCCATTCTGAGAATAATATAAATGTTCCAAAACGTGTCTAGCTATTGAACAGCAATTTATGAAATAAGGGTGCTTGATAAGGAAAGTGTTGTTAAACTATTTATCAGGTCTAATGTGAAATTCCGAATATGTAAAGGATTCGCAGCGTATGAGAATATAATCATCAACAAAAAACTGTTTATTATGGTCCCTTTATAGAAAATGCATCAATGAACAGTGTCATTTAAAGAAAGATTTGTGACAATTTATAATAAAAATATAGTTATTCTAGAATTGATTGTAAAAATATGGCTGATAAAATATAAAATATTACCCTCTGGAAATTGTAACATCCGGCTCTTTGTTCAGTCACTAAATGTCAGTTTAACAATAAAACAATTAAGTTATTTAATTACCAAGCCAAAACTAGAAAGAAAAAGAGCAAAACAAATAAACTATGGCAGTTCTTACATCTCGTACTGTTGTTTATTGTCCTGACGACTACTTTCAGACCTACCAGACATTTAGAAAGTACTTTAAACGCCTCTCACGTCATAATATCAATAGAAAATAAACAACGATGACACTACAACATCTTCTCATGCAACAACATCGTCATTAACACGAAATGCCTCTTTCCTTGCAGGCTTCATTTGCACACAACAAGTGAGGAGAGGACTTGACGTTTCCCCATTGAGAAAACATACAAGTACTGTATATTTGTAATCGTTTACACTTATCGTTGTTGAATTTTCTTTATAAACAGTAAAATTGATTTCATTATAGGTTGTTTTGTTTAACGTTGGAGTTTCAAGAACCTATCGAGGACGTTAAATGAGGATTTCTTATACTTTATTTCGTTATACAATATAATTTTCCTACAGCTCCAAAGAGTACCTGTATTGATCGTTGTATAGGCCTACTTACAAATTAAGTACAATTACAATAATTAATTTCTTGTTATAAACTGTAATAAATCTTTCTTTAATTGTTACTATTCTTTCGAGTACTCCCCACTGAGGGATATTAGAAAATGAAGTTTCCGGTTGACGTTCTCTTTTAAATTATTTGATGAATTAATAATAATAAATGTCTGCTGTTGTATTACATCAAAAATAAACTAAGTGCCTCATGAAGTTCATCACAGCAACTAAAGCACTGGACTCTGACTTCAATTATCTCTCATTCCCTAACGTTTCCAGCCGGGTAATACCATCCTGGACTTCCGATCTTCGCTACGATGTAAGTAGCAATGGTATGATACTAGTAGAAAGGAAAACTGCAAGTACAATTAGTATCTAGAATTTATAGATTTTATCCTTAAAGTACATTTAATCACATTTATATTTTCAAAGAATAAATAATAATAAATATCTTTTATTACTTTACAATTCAAAATAATATCATTAGCATGATGTTTTACAAAGCTAAAAAATGTTTAGATGTATTGAATAAAACAGTTGGAGACATTTGTAGAAAAATACGTCTCATATGATTGAAAGTATTATATTTTGAAATATTACTTTGTCATTTATTTCCTAGTAATAACAATAGCAAACTATTAATTTCATATTCAATTTTTATTGGGCCGTAGCATCTGATTCTTATATAAATATCCATATTGTAAGCCAGATATGGAACTATTATAGTAAAGTTACTCCAATCACAGACATCAATGGTTACCAATTATATATTGCTGTTGATTTTAGTAACGTTGTTAAAAGGTGAGTTTTAATTTCATTTCTTCTGTTTTCTTATTTGAAAAATACTTTTAGAGAAAAGAAAATCAGTTTAATTTTAAATCATCTGTATACAAAACTATAAATTTTAGTTTATCTTCATCTTTTAACCCACCACCCACTGTATATTATCATTCAATTTTATATAGAAATTTAAAATATATTATTTTGAATATTTGTACAAATTATATCGAATTAATACCTGTTTTTATATATAAGAATGGATAAATAAATAAGCAGTCAAAAGCAACTGCTTGGCTGGCTACTCCGGTTGGTTATTTATTGATCCTCCCTTGTATATGATATCATTAGTAAATTTCTAAATAAGAATCTTCTATTTTAAAATATATACGAATAGAAATAGACAGATGTTATTTTTAAAAACATATTTAATTATCATGTTTATGATTTGAAAGCGCAAAAACTGGAATGATTAATTTTAATTTTTGTAATATTTGATGAGTTCAATTGCAAATGTTTTCATCTAAGTCGCAAAATTTCACTCAAACATTGCCCGTAAATTAATTTTCTTTTAAAGAAAAGATTAATAAATTGGTTTTATATTTCTTCATTAATTGGATAATAAGGATTTATTCTCGAGAGATAAGGAAATGAAATTAGTCACAGAACTGTTAATATCCATGATATTTAAATTTTCATTAAATTTAATTAGTTATAAAAATTAAAGTACAATATGTAGTCTATTAATTTTAACATATTGTAGTATCTATAATATAGTAGAAGATAGATCAATAAGTTTCGATTTATCGTCCGATGGAATTGCCAACTTTCTCAGTAACAATTTCCGAACACAATATAAAAATACCCTAACCCAAAAAAGTAATGAGCAAAAGAAAATCTACAAATAAGCTTTTTTTTCTCTTGATAATGATGATGATAAAACAGCCAGACAGTTAAAGGCACAACCTACTGCTCAGTGAACACGGAATCGAACCCATGCGAGCGATCTCATGAATTTTCACGGGATCGTTTCAGATATATTGAGTCCCGTCTCTCATCAGCTTGCCGCCCATCTTGTCGGCCAGGCCTGCGCTACCATATGATTAAAATAGGTCCTCTTCGTGCCCACAGAACGGAAGACACAAAACTAAAAAAACTATAGAGAGGTTGCGGCCGAAGTTTTCATCTCTCAAACGTGAACGCCGAACGTCGAGCACCGCAATCTTGTTAGCGGCGCTCGACGTTCGACGTTCACGTTTGAGAGATGAAAACTTCGGCCGCAACCTCTCTTATAATTCCAATATAGTTTCGAAAATTCGAAACAGTTTGGAATCCTGTCGTCCGAGAAAATAACGTGTGCTGAACGGTTTGTAAATAATGTACCAACAAAATTCCATTTATTTTAAAATATCAACCGAGTTATAATTAAAACAATGCTTTAAAATGTTGTCGTTCTATGCAGAATAAAACAATACGTTGGCATATCGAAATAACCACTATTTCGGGTGCAAATAAAGCAAATTGAAAGATAGCCTTTCTGCTTAATGTAACGAAATAGGAAAAAATAAATAAAATAAATTATTTATAACGTTGTAAAGAAATCTATTCTTAAAATAATACAAAAACTCAAGCATTATATCTTAATACGTCTTTTTTTGTTGACATTATCATATAAAGTTATTCACTTACATAATCCAATAGATTTTTAGTGTTTTTCTTTATCTATAAAATATGACATTATTATTATTATTTCATTTTGAATTGTTTTAGTTTAATAGTTTTTCTTTTTTATAAATATTGCTATTAAAATAATTATATTTAATTAAATTTTGATTTATGAATGATATAAATCCATTCTATAATGGAAAATGCTTCAATTTAAAAATTATGATATATTGTTTTTTTTTCCTTCGATGGACATTGTTTACATACAAAAATTTCCTGAATAATAGTAATTTATTATTTTACCGGAAAACTGATGTTAATACAATTCGTTCTAAATAACGTTTTAGTTAATATTGAAAACTATTTTTGTTATATTTTTCACTCATTTTTCATATTTTATAACACTTTTATCTTTATTAATTACATTTTTGTTCGGTTTGGTGTTTGTATACATGAAAGTAATTCTTATTTTTCACAATAATAATAAAGGCGCATCCGATTTAGGTATATTAGAAATTATATTGTTTAATAGAAGCGCTTAAAATAATATATTTCCTGAAACTGCTATTTTTTACGTTCCTTTTATTTTTCTGTTTTGTTAATTACAAAACACAGGAAATTATTGGAATCGTGTCAAATTTGCGGCGAATTTTTTGATAATCTCCATGTTCTAAGATCCCCTGAACCCAAAAATGTCAAAGCACGAAAAACTTCCATGGATAGGTGTGTGGGTGTGTGTGTGTGTGTTGGTGTCTNTGGGACCTTTGCATGTTGTTCCTGGTAAATTGAACGCCTACACCTATATAAACATTTTGGACAATCAGGTTCTGCTTACGCTCTCGTCCATTCCATAAAATTGCCAATGTTACTTCCAGGACGACAATGCTCCATGTCATGTTGCAGTGGTATCAAGATACGGATGTCAACCGTCTTCCTTGTCCTGCTCAGAGTCCCTCCCTAAATTCAATATAACATTTGTGGAACGAGTTAGAACGACGCTTACGGACCAAGAAACCACGTCCAAAATCTACAGCTGAGCTGGCGACATTCTTGAAGCAGGAATGGACACAAATGCCCATAGCTGTGTATTAAAACCTTTTTGAAAATATGCCCAGAAGGGTTGCTAATGTAATTGCAGCCCTTAATGTAATTTTATGGAGGACTCTACTCCTATTAATACATGTATTCTTTAACTTATGCCATCACATCTTGCTGTCCGGTCCATTATTGTAGGGTAGTGTATAACCACTAGTAAGTACTGTACGTACGACCCTATTCGAGATAAGACATACGATTCCGCTCTATCTCCCCACCTCGTCGACTTGTAACCACCAAAATTTAATAGTAGCAATTCCCCTAATACACAAACCTCTCTGCAAAAGTTCAGAAATTTTCGACAAAAAGCACAAGAGTTAACTCCAAAGAAAATGAGCAAAATCGTGCCTCCTAAACATACTAATATGCATACACACAGATTAAAAAAAAATAACCTCAAGTTTTTGCATTTCTCTACGTTTCAAGGTCTCCTGAGTTCAAAAAACTTGGGCTGGTTTATTTTTTTTAACTGATCGCCATACTTTTCTTTTGTTAAATACCATGTATAACAGCCGGGAAAGTATAAATGAAACAATTTTTAAATTATTCAATAGGAATATAAGAAATTTATAATGAAGTAGATTATAATTTTGATATTGTTGTTGTCGATTTTGTCCAAAAAATAATTAATAAAATCATTTTTTTATTCACAGAAACAAACGCTCAATTACCATGCCCTTTACCAGCAGAAGTTATCTTTTCTGGAGCGGAAAACGCTGCCGTTCCTCCAACTTTTTTTCTTTTTTATAGCCGAGAGAATCCAGAATACCCTCAGAATTTAACATTTACTAACTGTACAGGAAATACCAACTACAATCCGAATAAGAAAACTGTCATTGTGGTACATGGCTATCAAGGAAATCCCAATGGCGAAGAACTTGTCGTAAGTATCATTTTCAATTCGTTTTTGAATAAATAACGATTTTAGTATATACATTTTAGCACTATAAAAATTTAAACACTTAACTGATTTGTACGGAAATTTGTATACTCTTAAAATAACGGAAAATATTTAAATTTATTAAATTTATGAGTCAACAAAAGAACTTATTTATTGCGTTAAAAATGGCTGTTTTGCTTCTTTTTTCTCGTTTTAAAGCGCATAAATGTTTGAATAATTAATTCTTCAAGTTTAAATTTTGTCTAAAAGTTCAACATTTAAATTAGAAATGTTGTTTTTAGGATAAGGCAATGCATTATTACGCAGTCTTCCAAATCAGAGAGATCTCATTACAGAAACTAATCCTATATCCAGAAAACTCCGCTGACGGCGGAGTAAGTGGAGTTTAGAAGTAAATCTGAGGCCAATTACTAGTATTCGGTGGTTTTTATTCACCAAGAAGTAAAATCCTTCGATACTTTTTACATTTACGGAAAATTTGAGAGAGTTCTCGTCTTGGATTCAGTCAGACACACAATGAAAATGACCGGATGATGAGGAACGAAGCCCAACGTATCCAGATCAGCTGTGAAGTTGCATCATCTTGTTCTAAGAAATTCAGAATTTAATAAAATATGGAACTAATGGCTAATTGAGAGTACACATAGGCCAATCAGAATTGTGAAAATTTAATTTAATACATTACATACACAGTACTTTATCATACATTTTTGTTCTTTTTATTTTTGGAAATATGGATATATGGAATATTGAAAGCTTATGTTTTATGATTGAAATCTTCATTTTAAATTTTGTTTTAGAAAATATTAATAAGAGTTAAAATTTTATAGTTTTTAAAATCGGCTTATTTACATTAAGAAGATTGTAATGTGATCTTTGTGGATTGGAGTATAGCGGCTGCAGTCTTTTTTTTCCCAGACGCAATAAGAAATACTCTAATAACAGGAAAATATGTTGCAGAACAACTGGAAATTTGGAAGGTAACAACTAACTTCATTAAATAAAATAAATAATTTATTTATTACATTTCTTTATATATTTCATGCAGGAAAATTGTAAGGAAATCAACTTTGATAAATTTCACGTTATTGGATTTAGTCTTGGAGGTCAGACAGGAGGATTTATTGGAAAATACATGAAAACGGGAAAGATTGGAAGAATTACTGGTAAAAATATCATTTGTAGATATTTACTAAAAACTTCCATTTATTTTTATTAAATACAACTCTTATTATTATAACTATTGTTAGCATTAGATTTTGCAGGTATTTGTTTCGTTAAATTTCCACCAAAATATAAGCTTCACTATACAGATGCAAAGTTCGTCGACGTTATTACAGGATCGGCTTTTTGTAAATATAATGATTATTTCGTATTTTTTTTAATATTTCAATTATTTTATAATATAATTATATTGTAATATTTAGCACAAGTTATTATGGATCAACCTACAGGACATGTNGGGGAATTTTTCGAAAAATTTCTTCTTAGTGTACATTCTCTTGACGTACCCTGTTAAAACGCAATCAAACACGCAAAAACCTGCATCTAAAATAATATAATAGAAGCCAAGTTCTTCACGGTAAGCCTTAATTCTGTCCCTCTCCCCCGTGGGGAAATATCGAAAAATCCCTTCTTAGTGTACAGTACATTCTGTTGACGTACCCTATTAAAACACAATCAAAAACGCAAAAACCCGCATCTAAAATAGTATAAATAGAAGCAGAGTTCTTTACGGTAAGCCTTAATCCTAACCATCTCCCCACATGTGAAGTAAGAATTATACTTTTGTAGTAATGGATAAGAATAATTTTATATGGAACCAGTATATACTTTTGTATTACATAAATACAAAATTCATCCACTTTATGTAATGTATTGATAATTAACACAAGTGCAAACAATTTAAATGTCAAATTGTAAACTGTATCTAGTTAATTATTTCAGATATTTAACAAATTATATTTTTACATATTTTAGAATCTGTAATGACGTGTTCACATACGCGCCCAGTTTATCTATTCGCTTCTTCACTTTACTCTGAATGTATTGCCGTTGGTTATCGTTGTGCAGATTACGAAACGTTTAGTAGAGGAGAATGTAGTGAGTGCGGAGAAAATGGTGAACAATGTGCTGCAATGGGAATTCATTCGGAAAAATATGCTGATAAAATAATAAATGGAACAGTAACAATGTACTTGCATACAACATTCACCGACGATTATTGCTGTGAGTATGAAGTATTATTTTAGTAAAAAAATCAAAAACAATATAAAACACAATTAGATTTTTATATTTATAATACAGTTGACCCCCCCTATAACACGGTGGATAATTCCTTGTTATATGAATTCCATGTTGTGCCGGGCTGTAAACGGCTCACGTATTTGTAAAATCTAAGTGACTCGTACAACATGGAATTCATTTAACACGGAATTATCTACCGCGTTATAGGGGGGTCTACTGGTAATATAAAATGTATTATTATTATTTTGTTATAAATAGCAATAAAATTGCTAATTTTATTGCTATTTTGGCGACAAAGAATTAGCAATAAGTTCCAATTAAAAATTAATTAGATAAAATAAAACAGTTATTATTCTTTAAAAATGTCCGAACAAATATGAATTCTGACATCACTTTAAACCAACACAAATCTTGCTAACTTCCAATTATTAATGTTATCAGAATATGCCCGTAAACATAAACTTTAGATGAATTCAATTTATATTGTCTCCAGACATCTCAGTCATTTGTCATGTTTTCTTACGACAATTGTGTGCACAACATATGCAGATCCGTAGAACTTCTGTCACGTTTTTCACAGAAACTGTATTTATAACGTTGTATATCATAAAGAAAAAAATAAATGTTTTTTTAAATATCTACTTCTTGTCTTTTTTTATATATTAATCTAACAAATTTTATAATCTTATTGCTCTATATTTACTGTTTCATAACTTATCAGTGTATCAATATCACGTGGAAGTTAAGTTGAGTTCGGGTCCGAACAGCACGACTGAAGTTGGGAAATTAATTCTGATTATTAATAGCCGAATAATTAAGATTTTGAATAAAGAGTATGTATACATTTTGCCTTATACCAATTTAAATTGATTATTTATAGTAAAAACATAATAAGTTTTTTTATAATTACAGTCAACATCTGCAATCGATTACAGAATCATTTCAACCAGAAGAAAAGAAACAATATTTAATAACTACTACTCACGATATTTTTCCAATAATAAAAGTACAGTTTTATTGGTATACAGTATCACCTCGTAAAGATAATAAGTTGTACGTTCAATGTATCAAGATCGTCCCAATGAATAATTTAGAAACGTATGTTTATAATTTATTTTAACAAAAAAATTCAAATTTAATTAGGTAATTAAATAACAATTAGCATAAGTAGATAATTTTAACTTGTATTATTTTCTGAACAAATGATTTATTTTTTCAGAAATCGCTCCAATTTGACTACATATGGAACTACAAATGGTGAACCAATATCGCCCGAAAATATTATTTTACTGGCCTTAAATTCGAGTTGTTAAATTCAGAAATCGAAATATTGTTTCTTCTATTAGTTATTATGTTCTGTAATTTTTATTTATTCACTTTTACTTGAAATAATCAAGAACATCGTGTAAAAGTGTTTTTATTCTCTATACATTAATTATAACTGCATTTAGTTTCTTTAATAATTTAAATTAGCTTTTATTTTTATATAGTAGCAAAAACTTGTAATTATTAGTAGAAAAAATTAGTTTATAATTTAAAGTTGTTATTTATTTTACTAGATCGAGCGAAATAATCTACAATATTGAGTTTAATTATCAACTAGCAGACCCCGCCACTCGTTGTTGTGGCTCAAAATGTATCTATTATAAATTTATAACACTTCCCCCGTGGGGGGAAATTTTTCGAAAAATTTCTTCTTAGTGTATATTTTCTTGACGTACCCTATTAAAACACAATCAAAAATGCAAAAACCTGCATCTAAAATAGTATCATAGAAGCCAAGTTCTTCACGGTAAGCCTTAATCCTGTCTCTCTCCCCCGCGGGGGGAATATCGAAAAATTTGTTGTTAGTGTACATTCTGTTGACGTACCCTATTAAAACGCAAAAACCCGCATCTAAAATAGTATAAATAGAAGCAGAGTTCTTTACGGTAAGCCTTAATCCTAACCATCTCCCTTCAGTGGGTGGAATTTCGACACGTATATTATATAAAAACACGTGCGTATTCGAATGCAGCGTTATGTCAAAATTTCAAGGAAATCGATAGGAACAAACGAACATTACATTTTTATTTATATAGATAGATAGAAGATGATCCGCTTTAGTTCATTTTCACAGAAAAGCATAATGCCTCGCAGAAAAGCAAACTTAGGGCGTCGTACTCGTAGCGCCATCTGTTGGACATAAAAGCCTTAACTTAGATTATATATTTTAATTTATATGAATGTTTAACGGAATAATATACAGCCTATGTCCACCCTGAGGTTNAATATGAATTCTGACATCACTTTAAACCAACACAAATCTTGCTAACTTCCAATTATTAATGTTATCAGAATATGCCCGTAAACATAAACTTTAGATGAATTCAATTTATATTGTCTCCAGACATCTCAGTCATTTGTCATGTTTTCTTACGACAATTGTGTGCACAACATATGCAGATCCGTAGAACTTCTGTCACGTTTTTCACAGAAACTGTATTTATAACGTTGTATATCATAAAGAAAAAAATAAATGTTTTTTTAAATATCTACTTCTTGTCTTTTTTTATATATTAATCTAACAAATTTTATAATCTTATTGCTCTATATTTACTGTTTCATAACTTATCAGTGTATCAATATCACGTGGAAGTTAAGTTGAGTTCGGGTCCGAACAGCACGACTGAAGTTGGGAAATTAATTCTGATTATTAATAGCCGAATAATTAAGATTTTGAATAAAGAGTATGTATACATTTTGCCTTATACCAATTTAAATTGATTATTTATAGTAAAAACATAATAAGTTTTTTTATAATTACAGTCAACATCTGCAATCGATTACAGAATCATTTCAACCAGAAGAAAAGAAACAATATTTAATAACTACTACTCACGATATTTTTCCAATAATAAAAGTACAGTTTTATTGGTATACAGTATCACCTCGTAAAGATAATAAGTTGTACGTTCAATGTATCAAGATCGTCCCAATGAATAATTTAGAAACGTATGTTTATAATTTATTTTAACAAAAAAATTCAAATTTAATTAGGTAATTAAATAACAATTAGCATAAGTAGATAATTTTAACTTGTATTATTTTCTGAACAAATGATTTATTTTTTCAGAAATCGCTCCAATTTGACTACATATGGAACTACAAATGGTGAACCAATATCGCCCGAAAATATTATTTTACTGGCCTTAAATTCGAGTTGTTAAATTCAGAAATCGAAATATTGTTTCTTCTATTAGTTATTATGTTCTGTAATTTTTATTTATTCACTTTTACTTGAAATAATCAAGAACATCGTGTAAAAGTGTTTTTATTCTCTATACATTAATTATAACTGCATTTAGTTTCTTTAATAATTTAAATTAGCTTTTATTTTTATATAGTAGCAAAAACTTGTAATTATTAGTAGAAAAAATTAGTTTATAATTTAAAGTTGTTATTTATTTTACTAGATCGAGCGAAATAATCTACAATATTGAGTTTAATTATCAACTAGCAGACCCCGCCACTCGTTGTTGTGGCTCAAAATGTATCTATTATAAATTTATAACACTTCCCCCGTGGGGGGAAATTTTTCGAAAAATTTCTTCTTAGTGTATATTTTCTTGACGTACCCTATTAAAACACAATCAAAAATGCAAAAACCTGCATCTAAAATAGTATCATAGAAGCCAAGTTCTTCACGGTAAGCCTTAATCCTGTCTCTCTCCCCCGCGGGGGGAATATCGAAAAATTTGTTGTTAGTGTACATTCTGTTGACGTACCCTATTAAAACGCAAAAACCCGCATCTAAAATAGTATAAATAGAAGCAGAGTTCTTTACGGTAAGCCTTAATCCTAACCATCTCCCTTCAGTGGGTGGAATTTCGACACGTATATTATATAAAAACACGTGCGTATTCGAATGCAGCGTTATGTCAAAATTTCAAGGAAATCGATAGGAACAAACGAACATTACATTTTTATTTATATAGATAGATAGAAGATGATCCGCTTTAGTTCATTTTCACAGAAAAGCATAATGCCTCGCAGAAAAGCAAACTTAGGGCGTCGTACTCGTAGCGCCATCTGTTGGACATAAAAGCCTTAACTTAGATTATATATTTTAATTTATATGAATGTTTAACGGAATAATATACAGCCTATGTCCACCCTGAGGTTNGTAACATCTCTTGACTTCTGTCAAGGTACGGATTCATTTGACAACATAAAATTTTCTCATTTGGAGATTGAGCTATCCATATCACTCCCTATGATTTCAATTTTCTTTCAAAAAGGCCTAAAAGGGGTTTGTCTGGTCTGTCTGTCACTCAGAAAATGAGTTTTTTTTTTCTTTTTGCTTGCTACTTCCTGGACACGTGGAAGTGTTGACTTTATGTCCAATGGTCACGTTCCTTTCGTAGTGTGTCTGTCCTTCTCTCGAGATTTTCAGTTTCCAACAGAATCTTGTCAAGTACCTTGGAGTGTTCTCCATTTTGTACTGGATGGGGAATGAAAAGATGTCTGCATGAATGGTGGGTATCTAACAACCTCGTCATCCTCTGCAGGCAACGCTTTTTCTGGGTGTCCGTCTCTTGAACGTGTGACAATTTCTGCTATCGGTTTCCGATGCAGATTACCGCAAATCAAGGTCACGTAGCTCTGAGGGGACATTTCCCTCGATTCTGTTGAATGTTTGATGCTTGGTTTTGATGTCGACTTTGACATTTTTCTCCTAATATCGGCATGTTCGATTGAGTCGGGTGATTTGATTGCTACTTTTCCTTGTGACAGAAGATCGTCTCGCGCATTTGAAAAAGGAGGGACAATTTTCCTCATATTTGGACTGTATGAATCGCTCAATCTATGACAGATTTCGCTTGATTGTTTCTCGCGACAATGTTTTTCTAGCTGAAGTTTTGTCTCTGACTCGCGACAATTTTTGGCTTTGTATAACGGATGTGTGAATCTGGACTTCACATTTCATTCGTGCTGACAAAACACAATTCCTCATCTCAACAAAGTTACAAAATTCAAGTCTTCGTTGCGACTCATGTCATCAACAAGAACAAAAAATTTTTTCACAAGATTTACCTTCATTTTCTATCAAAAAGAATTCACATTACTAAAGTTCCGGTTTCGCGACAATTTGTTTAAATGAGCACGCGTATTTACAATGGACATCTCTCCATTTGGAAGATGATATCCTCTCTTTGCAAGAAAGAGAAGCTACCATTTACAATTGGTGAATAATCCGATTGGAGTGTTAGGTGGCAAGCGCGGGAGACTTTCATCCTGCTGAGTTTCGGAAACGTCCGCGTCTCGCACCATCGTCACTTTCGGCGGAATTATTCCCGATGATTTAGGAAGGACCCAGGGATAATCACTTACTGGTCCTTGACTTCGGAGTGCATAGTGATGCGCAGGTTGCAACGGGGTCTGGGGTTGATCAGCGTCTGCATCTCTGGTGGTGTTTGTAGTGTTTGTCTGT